CACTCACACACTCACTCACTCACTCACTCACTCACTCACACTCTCTCTCTCTCTCTCTCTCTCACACACACACACTCTCACAAACTCACACACACACACTCTCTCTCTCTCTCTCACTCACACACACTCACACACACTCACTCACTCTCTCTCTCTCTCTCCCTGCAGGCGTATGGTTGGGCGTTGCAGGGGATGCGTCACCTAGCGGGCGTCAGAATGGAGGACTGCACGCTGCCAGACAAATGCCAGGCTGTGATTGGCTGCCTGGAGGAGTACCGCCTCCAGCACCCGCCCCTCCCTGACGCTCGCTTCCAGGAAATGAGGGAGGAGGCGGGGCATCTGCGGGGAGGTCGGGGCCTCCAGCAGTGGAGCTACACCTGGTCCAAGTGTCAGGAAACCAAGGACGTGTTCGACAGGAAGCTGGAGGCGGCCCTCCGGAGCAGGAGCTCTGACTCCGCCCACAAGAGGGAATATGAATCCTCCCACTACAGTGAGGCGTCTGACTCCGCCCACAACAGGAGCTCAGACTCCTCCCACAATAGCAATGAGTCTGACTCTGCCCACAAGCAGCTGTCTGGCCCCGCCCACAACAGGAGCTCAGACTCCTCCCACTACAGCAATGAGTCTGGCCCCGCCCATATAAGGAGCTCCGACTCCTCCCACTACAGTGAGGCGTCTGACTCCGCCCACAACAGGAGCTCAGACTCCTCCCACAATAGCAATGAGTTTGACTCCACCCACAAGCAGCTGTCTGGCCCCGCCCACAACAGGAGCTCAGACTCCTCCCACTACAGCAATGAGTCAGACTCCGCCCACAACATGATCTCAGACTCCGCCCACAACCAAAAGTCAGGCTCCATCCACAAAAGGAGCTCCGCCCCCTTTCGGAGGACTCTGTCAGCCCTGTGGGGGGTCCAAGAGAAGATGGAGGACAGCGTCTCCTCACCCTCTCTCTCCTCCTCGTCCTCTTCCTCACTCAGAGCCTCTTCATCACTTCGTAACTCCTCCTCTTCCTCACTTCGTAACACCTTCTCCACCCCCCTCCCCCCCCAGCACATCCCCCTCCTGCAGCGTTTGTTTCGCAGCTCCTCCTCAGAGGATCCAGCTATTCCCTCCTCTTCCTCCTCCTCTTCCTCTTCCTCCTTCTTCTCCAGGAGGCAGCACCTGAGGAAGACTCAGAGCTTTGACTGCCCTCCGAGTACCCCCGAGGGTAAATGGCCCAGTCCGTTTCCACTCCCCGAGGGTAAATGGTCCGGTCCGGTTCCACCCCCCGAGATGAAGTGGTCCAGTCCAAGTCCCCCCCCCAAGGATAAGTGGTCCGGTCCGAGTCCCCCTGCTGAGCAATGGTCCGGTCCGGTCCCCCGCTCAGTGAGTGATCCGGTGCGTAGAGGGAACATCGGGGTGTTCATCAAAGGTCTGGAGGTCAGCAGCCCGGAGGCAGCAGACCGCACACTGAGCCCCAGGATCAGTGCTCTCAGCTGGGCAGGACAGAGGCCTCACACCCCCCTGAGCTCCAGCTGCTCCAGCAGCCCAGCAGAGACGAGACCCAGGGGGAGGTAACCAAAGAGGATCTGTTCACATTGTTATTATTGTTGCTGTTATTTGTGTATGTTTCATTCATACGTTTTGCATTATGGGATGTGTTTGCAGGAAGAGCAGAGGTGCATTATGGGATGTGTTTGCAGGAAGAGCAGAGGTGCATTATGGGATGTGTTTGCAGGAAGAGCAGAGGTGCATTATGGGATGTGTTTGCAATAAGAGCAGAGGTGCATTATGGGATGTGTTTGCAGGAAGAGCAGAGGTGCATTATGGGATGTGTTTGCAATAAGAGCAGAGGTGCATTATGGGATGTGTTTGCAGGAAGAGCAGAGGTGCATTATGGGATGTGTTTGCAGGAAGAGCAGAGGTGCATTATGGGATGTGTTTGCAGGAAGAGCAGAGGTGCATTATGGGATGTGTTTGCAGGAAGAGCAGAGGTGCATTATGGGATGTGTTTGCAGNAAATATGAAGAAAACCGATTATGGAATATCTTTTATAACACCCGCCATCAGGTGTGCCGCGTGAATAGCACATCTTGTCAATGCAAACAGACCGTTATAGCACCGTTACAATTAATGTTAAACCTGAGATTCGAATAGAGAACAAATAAATAATAGAAAAAAGGTCATGAGATCTCGGCATTGCACAAACAAACAAATCTCATCTTTAAAATCAACATTTGCCTTCACTGGTGAGAGAAAACAAATCCCATCACAGTTCATTTGTGGGACTTACCTTTCTAGTATTGAACAAACAATGAAAATATGAAGAAAAACGATTATGCAATCTAATTTATAACACCCGCCATTGGGGCCACGGACTCACTTTTTTTTATCGAAACCGGATCTGATTTCGGTACGGTATACCGTAGCCACCAGTAACCGGTATTTCGGTAATACCGGTATGCATCCCTAGGGTGGGACTTACCTTTCTAGTATTGAACAAACAATGAAAAATACATAAAATATGAAGAAAAACGATTAATGCAATCTAATTTATAACACCCGCCATCACGGGCCACGGACTCACTTTTAAAATTAAATAATTTTTTATTTTATTTTTTAAGTATCGAAACCGGATCTGATTTCGGTACGGTATACCGTAGCCACCAGTAACCGGTATTTCGGTAATACCGGATACCGGTATGCATCCCTAGGAGGGAGACTCCCCTGTGCACATTAGGTGCCCCGCGCAAACACTGGAGAACTGCGCAAAATCAGCTGATCACAACATTCACGCTCTGTGGTCCCGAAGTACTCCACTAGCACCCCCACACCCCCCATCGGCCTTCGCGACACAGAGGGCTTCAGGCTCCATCACATAACTTTGCGTGGGGCCAGAAGTTGGAGTAGCAAACACTGACTCCTGGTACTGAGTACATCTGAGTACCTCATTGAGAAAGTTATGTGCACCCCTGTCTATAGTAGCATTGCATGTAAAAGAAAGTGCACTGCGATGAATCTAACTGAAACTATAATTGTTTCCTCTCCAGAATGGAAGAAGTGAAGGAGAGCGGGACGACGACGGCAAAAAGTCTAAACGGCGTCCCCGGCCTGAGCCTCTTTTCATCCCGCCGCCTAAACCTGGTTTATTCATCGCCCCTCCCATGTACTCCAGCATGACACCCTACCAGAGCCACCTGCGCTCCCCAGTCCGCCTCGCTGAAAACCCCTTCTCCATCCCCCCCTACACCCCCCCGCCCATCCTCAGCCCTGTCCGAGAGGGCTCCGGCCTCTACTTCTCCACCTTCCTGTCGTCGGCTGCAGCCAGCGCCCAGGGCCTGCCGCCTCCTATCACCCCCAAGTCTGCAACACGCAGCCTGTTGCGCTCCAGTGAGTAAAACAAATAAAGAAAAATACCTGTCTGAATTATCCACGGGGCATCTTAACTGTGGCATCTTTTTTGAAAGTTAAGATAATAACTTGCAGGGTATTAACAATTATCAAGGAGTTCAAATGACACTTCATTACCAGCTGCATTGTCTCTTGTGACTCACTTATACTCGGGAAGGTAGGCAATCTGAACATTTCAATAAAAAACACAATACAGAGAGGTGAATGTAAATATGTAAAAACAAATAGTTTATAAAATGTGGTTTTGAAAGTTAAGATAATAACTTGCAGGGTATTAACAGAACCAAATAAGACCGTCAGTATATCAGCCGGGTTACTCCTTAAAAGTAAACACAGATACTGATAGCTTGGACGTTTGTGAAAATTAGAGCAATAAGGACAGGGGGAGCTTTAAGGACACTGAGGATACATTTAGTTTAACCCTTTAAATATCAATCTTTTTTGGACTCACTTTAGAGTTGCATCTGGCAAACATTTCCACTGATGTGTGTACTTTTTTAAAAAGTGATTAAGTAAGTCACTTTATAAATATTAAAATGATGCCTGACGGATTTCAGTATTTGATATTCTTGTCTTTTTAACTATTGTTCTGTACATCTACTTCCATATCACTGAGTGCATGTTGTGTTGCCTCTCTAACAGACAGCTGTGACATCACACCACCCGTTCTGTCGGCTATCGGAGAGGCCACTCCAGTCAGCATAGAGCCGTGAGTATTTCCCTCTCAACTTCCTCACATTATCTTCTTCCATTGTAGAAAGGTTTTGGGCTTTAGGGGGGGGGATGTTGTTTCTCATTTCCAGATAGTTTGATGGGCAGAGCATGCATTACCATAGCTCGAGTAGAAGCTCTGCAATTAATGACATTATAACACTGGGATGAAAAATGAAATGTCTTGAAAGCGAACATAGATTTCTTGAAATGCTAAACCCATCTTTTAAGGCGTTCCTCCTCCCTACCGCTGATACCACTGGAATCTTTTGCCCTGTCATCCACTGCTAGCATTAGCGCCAGCCTTCGCCTTCTTATCTAAGCATTCAGTCTAATGTCTCAATAAAAGTACATCCTGTTATAACAGTCAGATAAAGGCAAGGTAAGTGTATTTATATTGCACATTTCAACACAAGGCAATTCAAAGTGCTTTACAAAAATGAAAGACAGTAATAGCATTTAAGAAACATATTATGAAATGATATCTAAAAACACATTTAAAAGCAAAGATACATGAATCACAGTTACAGTGCAGAGTGAGATACACACATCTGAACGAACCCCCCTTTGGACAATTATAATCTGACCCCATGGTACCTTTTATTTTTCGCCGAAACTATTCCTCTTTTTTATTTTTAAATGCAGATAGTTAAGTTTACCTTGTCTTTCTAGGAATTTTGTTGGTATCCTCCGTGAACCAGGGTCTTGAAACCAAAACTAATTCCTGTACCCCATGGTACCTTTTTAGTTTTCGCCAAAACTATTCCTCTTTTCTTTAAATGCACATTAGTTAAGTTGAAGTTGTCTTTTCTAGGACTTTTTTGGTGTCCTCCGCGAACCAGGGTCTTGAAACCAAAATGGCACACGTAGGGGACTTTAACCACCTATGAGGGGACTTGGACCCCAATAATGACACCTTTTGGGGGGACTTTACAAAAATGAAAGACATTAAGAAAATGGCATTAAAAAGCAAAGATAATAAAAGTTACAGTGCAGTCTAAGATTTGAATAGTTCAATTAAAAGCAGCGGCAAAAAGAAAAGTCTTCAGCCTGGATTTAAAAGTAGTCAGAGTTGCAGCGGACCTGCAGGTTTCTGGGAGTTTGTTCCAGATATTTGGAGCATAATAACTTCTCCATGTTTAGTTCTGACTCTGGGGACAGAAAGCTGACCCCGTCCCTGAAGACCTGAGAGTTCTGGATGGTTCATAATTTAGCAGGAGGTCAGAAATATATTTTGGGCCTAAACCATTCAAAGCTTTATAAACCAGCAGCAGTATTTTTGAAATCAATTCTTTGACACACAGGAAGCCAGTGTAAAGACTTCAGAACAGGAGTGATGTGATCCACTTTCTTAGTGTCAGTGAGGACTTTAAAAAACCTTTTTAAGCTAATGACACACTAAAGAGACCTGCGATCTTTAACTTACATGCACAGAGACAATAGTTCTGGTTATATTTAAGTTATATATCACATTGTTTTTTTAATGAATCAAGATTATAGATGTTCCCCTTTGTTACCATAGAATAATAAATAAAAAAAAAAAAATGCAAAATGGTTAAGAATTGAGCAATATGAAACATAAATAAAAGCATATACACAACAACAGTTAAAACAGTTCAAACTTAATAACATTAAGCTGACATTTTAACTAATTTGTCGGATGTCAGCAGTAACAGTGTTAATGATGAGTAAAAGATAAGGGTTTAGCTAATGCCCATGTAAGTCAATCTGGTACCTTCCTGAGTAGGAAATTAACAATAACTGTCCAAATGTGTTTTGCAGACACACATTTAATAACTGAATTTGGTTTGTGTTCATCTCGATAACAAATATACTGCGTGTCCTGTGACTGCTTCACGATAAAAGCCACCATGCGATTCACATTTGGAACACTTTTAATGTGAAGCAGCGGCAGTAGGATATTCTGTTTGTGTTAGCGGTGACTTTAGGCCATTATCAAAGAGTTCAAATTACACTTCATTCCCAGCTGCATTGTCTCCTGTGACTCCCTCATACTCGTGTAGGTAGGCAATCTGAAAATTACAATAAAAACTACAATACAGAGGTGAATGTAAATAATTAGATAGTTTATAAAATGTGGTTTTAAAGTTGTAAAGATAATAACTTGCAGGGTATGAACAATGCATTTGAACTACTTGGACCAAAAAAGACCGTCAGTATATCAGCCGGGTTACTCCTTAAATGTAAACACAGACACCGATAGCTTGGACGTTTGTGGAAATTAGAGCAATAAAGACAGCTTTAAGGACACTGGGGCTACATTTAGTTTAACCCTTTACATATCAGTCGGGGGAATCTTTTCTGGACTCACTTTAGAGTTGCATCAACAGTGAGGAGCAGTTTATGGGGGTTCATTGTGCAAGCTGTCCCCCGACTGGTGCCAGCTGCTCAGCAGTTAGTCAGGGACGAGCCAGCGAGGCAGCCCATAAATCATGCCTTCAGCTGGGCCCGCTGTAATCCAAAACACACGAGAGCCATCTCAGTTCAACCTTTAGCAGCCCACCTTCCCTGGGGGAGGCTGCCAGAATACACACACACACACACACACACACACACACACACACACACACACACACACACACACACACACACACACACACTCAGCTGGAAATACCGCAGGCCTACTGGAAAAGCAGGGGAGGGAGGGGGCATGCTAGAACAGGATTGTGTGTTAATGCAACACAGCAGGATTTTCACAACTGTAGCATTGACGTATCGGGTTTCAGTGGAAGCCTATAGAGAGTGCATGCATCTGTGGGATGATTAGTCATTCTCCCTATTTGAGGATGACCTTTGTCCCACACCAGGTTGAGGATCCATGGACTATCAGATCAGTGAATCAAGAAGTGCACACACAATTTGAAAAGGATTTGCATATTATGCGTTATGCTGAGAGGGCAAAAGAGGAGCGCTGTAACAAGCTGGAACTCAAAACAGTGCAAGGGTTTCGGTGCTAACAGCCTCAACAATCCTGCGGTGACTATTTAAAGATCAGAGCAGGTAGAAAAGCCAAGAATTCAAAATGTGAGCTTAGAAATCAAACCAGAGGAAATCTGGTATTGTTATGTGATATTTAACTGTGAACAAATACCACTTCACAACAAAGGAAGGCTCTTGATGAATTTTGCAAAGGGGGGTTCCTTTAGCATGAAACACTTGAAATAACTAAAGGATCAGTTAAAAAAGAAAGTAGAAAGAAATTGAGGTCGAAGAAAACTATTTCTGCTAAACAGTTAGCAATGATTGAGAGTCGGACCTAAACATTTCAGATGTGTGTATCTCACACTGCACTGTCACTTTTAGTCATGTACCTTTTGTTTGATTATCTTTGCAGTGTTTTTAAATGAGTGTTTTTAAATGCCATTTCATAATATGTTTCTTAATGTCTTTCATTTTTGTAAAGCACTTTGAATTGCCTTGTGTTGAAAGGTGCTATATAAATACACTTGCCTTGCCTAATGTCTGCTCTCTGTCCCTCAGTGTGAGTCTACAGAGCAGATTTTGTCTCACTTTGGCTTCAGTAATGAGAGCCAGCTGACGGTGGAGCATCTGGGGCGGATCTGCCCCGCGGTGCTGACCCAGGTCCTGCTGCCCTCCTGCCCCTACACCGGCTCCAAGACGCCGCTGCCCCAAGACTACTCCGGTGAGCCGCTTCATCGCAATGTTTGTTTATCTGTGGAGACTCCAGCAGCTCAGATCATTCTCAAAGTTCATCAGGGTTTGTTGTAGAGACTTGGACGTTTTTTTTTTTTTTTAACACAATAATGACGTAGCACATACATGACAAATACATCATTACAAAACAAAAAGACAAAACATAACAAAAAACTAAAACAGCTCCGTCTCAAACATACATACATGTAGGTGGTTACAGGAGTATCACATTTATGATTGATGATGAATTCATGATTACGGGAGATTCACGAGGTTCCTTTAACAATAACAGCCGACAATTCAGGTCCAAGGAAATGTAAGTAAGGCTGCCAGATTCTATAGAACTGGTCGGATTTGGCATTTAAAACATTTGTGAGATATTCCAGGAGAACCAACTCAAATATGATGTTGCGCCAAGAGACTTGGAAGTTTAACTTACGATATGTCTTTTTATGCCATAAGAAAGCTCTTAATAAAAGCAATAACAACAGACAGTGTAGCGCCAAATGGGATTACTTTTTTGATCATAGTTCAGGATATCTTTGTATATTTTTGTATCCTGTGACAATCGATGACACACTTCTTCACTGAAAGAGATTGAAACAAGCTTAGTAAAAATGACAGTTTCTTGAATTGCATCGTTGCCATGCTTTGAAATACTTGAACTAAGTTAGATTTTAAACCCTTATTATTGACCCTTTATGAATAGATAAAACAATTAGCTTCAAAGCTGTTTTGTATAACTGAATACATGTTCAGTTGTTTTAAATGCAATGTGACAGAGAGTTCCTCAGAATGACCTGCAGAGCGCTCCTCTTCTATAAAGTAATCATGCCTGTTAACTGATAAAAACACTAAATAAAGATGTTTCCCTGGTGGACACTGGGAAAAGCAGCTACGAGTTAAAGGTTATAACGTTAGCTTAGCTTGTATCTTTAATAACTTAATATCCAGATGTCGGAAGACTCAAAATTAAAAGCAACAAATCTACAAAATGTGGTATAAAACTGGATGAAAAGTCAACTTATGGACTGTTCTTTGTTTGATTATTTAATAAAATATGAACAGTAAACATAGTCATACCTTTTGTCATTACCAATACTCTTTATAATGAGGTGACACTGAAGGTAACTTTGTCTTAGAGGAGTGATTTGACTTGGTAGCTTGAGACTTGATGGCTATTGTTGTACTTTTGTATTTTTACTTGACACCTCCACCAAAGCCATTTCACAGTGTTAACCAAGGCAAAACATTATCAGTGTATCCACTCCTACATTTTATGGCTTCTTCCTTGGCCCATGTTTCATCCGGTCACAAAGTTTTATGAAAATCCGGCTGATAGTTTATCCAAAATGCTGCTGATAAACAAACTGTATCATAAATATAACTTCCATGGCAGAGGTAATTATGATAATATTATTACAGACCCAGCAATATTAAAGCAATAACATGTAGCTCCACCTTTACCAGCATTGAAGTGATTGACACATTAATGCAGGGATGTCAAACTCAATTTAATCGCGGGCCACATCAGCACTATGGCTGAACTCAAAGGGCCGGTTGTAACTTATATATAAATATATATATAAAATAATGTATTATGTTACATTATTGCCTCTGCATTGGATTATTATCTGATAGGGTAATAACTTCATAATTAACTACGTCTGAAAGCAGAAGTCTGGGGCAAATAATTGCAAGTCTGTTCAGTGAGAATGTCACAAAATGATTTAAAAAGAAAAGCTGAAAAAAAAGGAAGAAAAAAAAAAAAGGAAGTGACATTTTAAAAAAAGAGTCAAATTCTAAGAAAAAAGGCATATTTAGAAGAAAAAAAGTCAAATTCTGTCTAATTTGAGATGCATTGTGGGACATGTAGTGTATGGGCAACGTGCTTCTGTAAATCATCATGTAACCGTATAATAAACATATTATATTCTTTGCAAGCTCTTGTCGGGCCACAGAAAATGAAGTCACGGGCCGGATTTGGCCCCCGGGCCTTGAGTTTGACACCCTAATGCATCAATCATTATAATACAATAATAAACATTATTCAAAAAGAATTGACGAGTTCCTTTACTTTCGGTACTTAAAGAATAGTTTATGCTAATAGCATTACTACAGTTAATAAAGAGTTTAATGCAGAACTTTCACTTGTAACAGAGAACTCGTAACACTACTTTTACATATATTTGAACCTTTTCTCTGGTCGTCACTTTTTATCATCTCCTTCTTATCTCTCTCCTCTCATGACTTTTAATAATCAAAACCCATAGTAATTTACTGTGAAGCTATGTAACGCTTAAACAATGTCCTGGACTGACTCAGAGCCGCTGACCGTCAAACGCTCCCTCTTCTTCCTCCTCCTCCTCCTCCTCCTCCTCCTCCTCCTCCTCCTCACTGCTGTTGACAGTTGCAACCATCTGTGACTGTTTTTTAGTCAGTGTGTTGATATTGATGCACGCTGTGAGCAGAATTTCTCCTCTGCAAATAAATAAAGAGTTCCTTCGTGTGCTAGAAATCCTTGGAAACACCTCCATCTTAATTTGGTGTTTTCAAGGTTTGAAAAGTGCTTAGATTTTTTTATAAAAGGCATCAAAACCCCTACATTTAGGTTACTATTGCAATGCTCATTCAGATCAGACTGGCCTAATAACATATAGTTACTTATTGAAAGGCTTCTTTTTGGCTGCTTCGGGCACTTGTACCATAAGTGTATGGATAAGAATGCATCATGTTTAACACACACACACACATAAATACTGATACCTATACCTATTGGCATGTAGGAGCCATGGCTGCGCTGTTTTGTAGACTTTAATGAGCGTCTGTTTGCTCTTTACGGTTTTGAGCATGCAGTCAGACCAGGTGTTTCGCAGTTTCTACAGCATCGATCAAATCATGTCATGCAGGGCACCGACTGGACTGTGTTCAACATACAAGCCAGACATGAAGTACATCGGTCCAAGGGTTGGCAAGATAATCAAAACTCAAATACACACACCCCAAACATATATATACACACAGAGACGTCTGTCAATATCGTATGTTATACCATGTGTTTTCCTTTAAATTGCCGCCCTTCTTATACTGTATGTCCTTCACCTAACATTACATTACATTACACTTGTTAGACGCTTTTATCCAAAGCAACTAACATACTCAATACTGTGGAAAATCCCCACAGGAGCAATTTGGGGTGAAGTGTCTCAGGGACACAACGACATGCTGACTGCAGTGGGGTTTGAACCTGTGACCCCCGGATCCGAACACCAACGCACAACCCACTGCACCACACGCCTCCCATGTTTGAAAAGGCACCTTGAAAATGCTTCAAAATAGCTGTTAAATAACTGTTGATCCATGATTTGTGCCCTGACAGTGTGGGGTTACGGGTTTCTGTCCGTCACTGTGATCAACCTGGCGTCTCTGCTCGGCCTCTTCCTGATCCCCTTCACCAAGAAGCCATATTTCCCCAAACTGCTGACCTACTTCGTCGGCCTCGCCATCGGGACGCTCTTCTCCAACGCTGTGCTGCAGCTCATACCCGAGGTTAGTAACAGGTGGAATTAATACAATGTCTTTGTGATAATTAAAGGGAGATTATTGTGTGTGCCACTAACGTTTTTCTGTTAATCCACAGGCGCTTGGTTTTGATCCCAAATTGGATAACTATGTGGAGAACGCAGTTGGAATATTTGGAGGCTTTTATCTCCTGTTCGTTGTGGAGAAGGTACTGAAAATGGCTCTCAGGTTAGACGAAGAGGTAAGATCACATCTGTGTCTCTGAAGTTGTTGTGTGTCTCTTTGTGGTTGTGTGTCTCTTTTAGGTCAGTTTGTGTCAACACCTGATTTGTATGTGTCTCTTTGAGTGACATTTTGTAGGGCAGCGGGGGCAGCCAGGACTCTTTGGGCACATTGCCAAACTCATATCTCTTTTTTTATTTACGCATGTGCCATGTCCTGGAACAGCCTTCTGATACACATTATTTTTCCTGTTGCTGATAATCCATCATTGTAATTTATTACAGAGTAATATCCTGTTTTGCAGTTGTCCAATGTCCATTAAGCCATCTTGTTTATTAGCTCATTAGGATGCCACGTAATGACTACAGGGAGGAAATTACACTTGGAAGTCATGCATATGTTTTAGATCATTTGCAGGGTCATGAAAACAAAAGTCAAACTTTGTGACCTTTTAAGATTTGGCACATACTCCTAACATTACCTTTCAACCAGGGGTGTTCTAACTTTTTGAATGGGGACCAGATTAAATAATTTAAAAATAAGTTTAGCTAGCTGCCTCTCATCATATGGGTTATTTAAAAAGATTTACAAAGGTTTTTCTTTAGCAATTTAACAGTCCTTCAATCAATAGTTTAATAGCCTATCCTATCATTCCCTGTGCATACAGTATAAGGTTTGAAGAGGAATTACTTCTTTGAAAATACCTTTGTTTTTTTTAAAGGGACAATGAACAATAATCAACTCTCAAACAAATGTACCACAACTTAGTCCGGCCTCCTATAGTAATAAACACAAATGTAGGACATTAAGGAAAAGCTATTTCGTGAAAGTTGTCAAAGTCAGTGAGATTTAAATTGTAGAATAAAGTTAAACAGTGTGAAAGTCAGATTTTATAACAATTCACTTCCACACATATTCACACATTCACAATGACATTCTTGAAAAAAGCTATATGTCAAACATTAAAGCTAAAACCAAGACTCAGTTAGCTTAGCTTTGAATAAAACCTTGCAGTAGTAGGAATTTTTAATCTTCACTGTGAGACTGACCGTTGAGCGGCCCGACCAAGCAAGGAGGCAATGATGTGGTCTTTAAGTATTGCATTGCGGACAATCTTGATTTATCTCCTCAGCTTACTTTAAACCATTGGCGAACCGTGTCTATCACAACCGGACCTTCTGTAGAAAGGTCCCCCCTCCCCCGGCGTTATAATGTCCGTCTTTTCACTGAATTGTCGTCTTGAAAAGGGTAATCAGAACAATGCCGCAATAACTTCATCTTCACCTGTTGCACTTGTCATTTCAACGTTAAAAACAATAAAACGGCATGAATTGCTTCGTCGCATTCATCTAGATCCTCTGTCTCGAGCCAGTTAACTAGCGGGCCTTCTAGAATCTAGAGTACCCTGAAACCGAGGGAAACTCTGAAAGAATACGCCCATTGGCTACAAATCAATATATGATTGGTTGATCAAACTGTCAGTCCAAACTTACGCT